ATCTTGGGCCAGTAGTATTTATCACGTACTGCCAAGTAGGTCTTGTAAAACCCAGGGTATCCTGCAGCTACTGCATCGTGGTTCTCACAAATAACACGATTCTGAGATCTTCATCATCCGGAATGCACAAGCGTGGGCTCTCAGCATCACCCGTAATGAATTCTTGCTCCAACGGGGTTGGATGCCACAATCATAGGCCTGGAAAATGGATACGTAGCCTACGGCACCGTATTACCTGTGATAACATTTGAGAGCTTACAAGCTTGTACCTTGAACTCACTGTGACCCAAGGTTTGTATGTTACATCGCAACGTCAGCGACCACTTATTTACTCGTTCAGTTAACATTACGAATTTTATGGAGCAGTGCAATAAAGACGGTAGCTTCGCACCTTGTCTGATAAATTTTCGATGAAGTTGATTCTTTGTGAGGATGAGTTACAGGCACTTTGACCACATGGCTCCAGGATCGCTACAAACGCTTAAATTAGCGCATGTTCTCAGTAAGCTTGGCCAGGATAAGGCAAATAGCGATCCAAAGGCTTAATGCGGTAATAGCTCGCCTGAAGGTATACAATAATTATGAGAATGCGCTGGCAAACACCCGAAGAACATCAAATCAGGCGTCGTTCAGATCACGATCGGCTCCTGCAGACGTAAAGCACCCCTGACCTTTGTGGGCAAGTTCGGAGGAAGTTTATCTTTTCGACCAGAGCTTGAGCCAGACCAAAAAGTCAGCCATACTTCAGACAGAGCATCGGCGTGCCCGCTAAAGATCTTGAAGCCATGAGTAACTCTGTAGAAGATGGATATCCGAAACGGGAAGTGTTGGAGCGACAGATGTCGCGAGAAGTCGCACCATCCCATTACGATGCAGATAAAAAACCCTACAATTACGTGGATTGCGAAATGCTCGTGGACAAAGTTGCTGAGAAATACCGGTACGTATTGGACAGTAATTTTGCAACTTACCACTCTCTCGAGCATACCACAAAGGACACATGATCGATTTAATGTTTAAATTCTGAAACGACAAATCTCTGTAAGCCGATAACTTTATCGCATCACAAAGCTTTTTGTTATTCTAAACTCAACATTGGCAACACTCATTCACCTTCAACAATTTTCACATACTCTAAGTACTTTCGATATTCTTCCAGTAATTTCTGCACTTTCAGAGTAAAGTAAACGTTCTTCGTTTCAACAGGAACATTTTCAAATATCGTCATATCGAAGTGATCTCTGGTTCGCCACATTGAAAACATCAGATATTTATCTTTTAAAACAAGGTTCAAATCCGCCAATTCTTTGACTAATTTGACTTCCTCTTCGGGTGAGACCGATTTTGTTGTCGCCTCCGTTCTCATCCTCATTGACTGGTTACAAAAGTCTCGCCAAAATTGAGTTCTTCTTTCGTCTGTGAGCTTGACTATGTTCATCACTTCCAAAGAAGTTTTTTCTCGTCTAATATCCAGCGATTAAACAACAAGGTTTGAAAGTCTTCAGCTGACTGCCTTGTATTCCATTTGTCCATGCCATTTAAGATCACCGTTACCATACCTTTGTCTTTGTATAATTTCATCAACATGTCAAAGGATGTTACTTTTTGACCAGGATTCGCATGGTTGTACTTGATTCGATACGATTCTGCCATTTTCAACTGAGGAGACGCCAGAACGTTGTCAATTTCGTGGGATAGTAAATGCTTATAAACGATCACAGGACTGGATCTGAATAGACGCATATCGAACTTGAGCTTCACTTTCTTAAGAGAACCACTTATGAGACCTCTCTCTTCGTTGTCGTATTTGGATGTGGCGTCATTTTCTTTGTGCAGCCTTAACGTGACATTTTGTTGAAGAGCCTCGTTGTTTGATGTATCAATCGCCAGCAATCCGCTTCCGGTGCTTGCGAGAAGAATAGCAACCATGACACAAGGACGATGCATATTGAACGCTTGCAACTTATTTTTTGAAGTCAAGAAATGACAGTCTTATACGCACACATGTCGTCGCCCGATTGGTCGATTGGTGGATTGACAGTCGAGGCTATAGCGATCAGATTCGGATGTTTCGTAAAGAGAGTGCAAATGAGATCAAACTGACGCTTTTAAAAGCGAATGGTAACGCTACATTCGGCGAAAATGCCAGTATCATTGCCTAGTTAACACAGGGATACAATGCCAACGTCAAGTTTTGACATCGAAGAGCGACTTTGTCGTGGGCGCAATCAGCATTTCAGGAAGCCGACCAGCGATTTGATTATCCTTAAAGTTGCAACGATCGACCTGTCTGATGACATCTTCTAAGTAACGTTTTCATAACAAAAGCGCTTATATGCGAATAGGGACATCTGAAAACCAGCGAAGTCAAGTTTGTTCCTGACTCACAGCAGTGCGTACTAGATTCAAAACCAATTCAGTCATAGTCTACACGCCATACGACAATTACAATGACAATAAACTATTGCTTCTTGTACAACTTTTCTGCACATCAAAGTGCCATGCAACCATATGGGTTGAAGATTTGTGATCGCTTTCTAGAATTATTTCATAATAGTCTTAACTGCTCTTCATCATAACGTATACTTCTGTTCGTGCAGATGGGGCAACCAAGGCACATATATACTATATGTATATCTCCTATTTATAATATACGGATATTGCAAAATTTCGGAGGAATGAGTGTCGAGTCATTTTGGTAGTACAATATTTTTATTTCGAATGGAGGAACCCATCCCATCACAGGACTTCGTACAATCACAGCGCCGCCGTTCGTCTCTATTCGTGCACTACCGCCACCGTAGCTCCAGCAGTAGTAGTCTCAGTGTCTCGGCATGCAGCAACCGCAGTACTATCAGCTATCCAGCGCCCGGTGCCAGTGCATCATCTACTTGGCACTTGAGTTCAGACCATTCGTACGAAGATTATGAGGTTCGATTTGACAACAATATATTGTATGAGCGTGAGAACAATAAGATAACAAACTGACTGGTGCAATTGCGTCTACTTCAGGTGATTTTTACAGAGGAAAAGCTGGGATTGACACTAAAAAGTGAAGAATGGGTAAATTCGTCGGGCTACCGAATTCCTGTGACTATCGTCAAGTCCACTATTTTCAGTGTTGGCCAACTTTCACATCAAATTTGCGTATGAGTCCTATTATTCTGGGCCTTTTGATATTTAATTATAGCTCTTGCTTTTTGGTAGGAAGGTGACGTATTGCAGTCGGTGAATGGTGAAAGTATCGTAAATCTGGCATTTCGGGATGTACTTCGAATTCTTAAGATTGCACCAAGACCGATTCGACTGCGATTTCGAACAAAATTTTCATTACGAGGTTCAGGACAAGAATTGTCTTTGTCCCTACTTGAACAGAATGATGTGTTGACTAGACGGTCAAGCGCAAGTAGTGATGACACTGAGCAGCGTGGATTGGTCTTGACGGAATCGTTCTTAGTACCGGAACATCACAGTGTAGAGGAGGATCACGATGATTCCGATAGTCAAAATGCTGTCATGTCTGAGAGCTTTGGAGATGCAGATAGTGTCCGTTCGACTGAAATATGCTCCGTGGTGGCGGACTTGACAGATGGTGAAGCTCCATTCAGTCGACATTCGTCTCGGCTAGCAGCTTTTTTACGGAAACCTTTTCGGCGGGAAGGCTTTGATAATGGAAGATTGGAGCTTCGATTGGGCATTGCGCCGCCATCACCACGTTCTGAAATAGCACTCGAGTCGCAATCGAAGGTACGATAACTGGGTTTTGTGTGTTTATCTACATCTCATGTTCATGAATTAGGCCGCAATTTACGTTCGGTGGCGTGTACATTCGAACGCAGTTGCATACCATGTACAATTTTCCCGGGATTGGACAATGAAGGTGTGGAAAAATTGGTCCGGACGGCCACAACGATCGAGCGAGAGAGACAATGAGCTTGTTACGAAGATCTTTGGTCTCGACTTTTCGAAAAGCTATGTCGTACGCGTGCGCTATGAATTTAGCACTGGCCACGGCCCCGGTGAATGGAGTGTCCCAAGCACACCAATTACTACTCTCACTCAAGAGGAGGCTATGCAACATTGGATCGTTCAGCCACGATGACATGAAGGTTCGATGTTTTTGGCTGAAATTTTAGTGATTTTTTTCTGAATGCATATAAAATTTTAATTGCTATAATCATATTCTTAAGTAAAGTACCTCTTACAAGAAGTATTAAAATATTTAATCACAACTACTAAATGTGTCAAGTCATCATTTTTACTTGCTGCTCTTATTCCATTGGTCACCTCTCTTCTGTTTCTGCTATAATTTTATCCTATCAGAAACATTAATTTCGTCTTGTAAAGTCAGCTCAACTATTTATTGCGCCAATGCTGGACGGCGCGCTGAAGTCATGGATAGTGTACTTCCTAGGCCAATACGTGGAGAGTCAAAGTGTTCATGTGTCATCCAAGTTATGGCCATCATCTGAACGTCTCAAGCTCGAAAATTTGACGCTTAAAACTAGCGTCGTGCCAAATTGGCTGCCATTTCGACTTAAGACAGGTTTTATTGGATTATTTGAAGCAGAATTACCCATTTCTGCCATATTTGGTCATTCATCAGCTAAAATCAAATTTCAAGATGTTCTGCTTGTACTTGAACCGCTGAAATATGATGAAACTAAATTTCAAGAAGAAGTTTTGGCAATCGTCGATTTGAAAATGAAAAGACTTCTTCAAGACTTACACGATCGATGGAATGGTCCACAAGTACTCGAGTACACTGTATCACATGAGAGTGAAGGTTACTTTGGTACTGATGGATGGATTGGACGAACTATGACGAAATTAATTGACAATTTACAGATTGATATTCGAAATTTTCATATTCGAATCGAAGGCGTTTGGATTCCAATTGGACCGATACAAAGTCCCATCACGTCAAGAAATAATAGAAATGAGAATGTTCGATCGGACGGCGTTAAATTTGCAGCAGGATTAACATTAGGAGCACTTTCAGCTGTTACGACACCAAGTAATTGGCGAGTAGGCGGCTTTGACGACCAAAAATCTCTAAATCTACACGAAAATACTCATTTGGTCTTCAAATTGATCAATGCAATCGATTTATCGGCATATGTGGATCCAAATGCTTTGCACTTTATTCATTCGAAAGTACATCCAAAAGTGTTGCAGTCGACGTTATCGAGACTGAAAGAAATGGGATCGCGAAGAGCTCGAGCAGATTGGTGGAATGCAAATGAAAGTGTTCATGCTCATAGGTTTTTAGTAGCACCCATAACTGTTGCATTAAAGTTAACAATGAATACAGCAGTACAACATGCCGAGACAAAAGATCCGCGATACGATGCAGTGTTTCACTTGTCAAAGATATGGATGACATTAGATGAAGATCAATTGTCAGTTTTAAATTTGATAATTGATTCATTTGCTGGAAATGAAAAGTGGCGAAAAATGGTCGCAGAGCAGGTCAAATCGACTGAGGCATTGAGTGTACATATGGAAGAAAAATTTGGCGAATTGATTGAGAAATATCTAGATTACTGGAAACAAGTGATAGCGATGAAAAACGAAGATATGGATGTTGTACAGAAGACCGACGCATGGAAATATGTGACGAAGATTGAACAACAACTTCCGTACGAAGTGGTCATTTCATTTCGAAATCGATTGGGACTAGACGATGTGGTCGGTGTTGGAAAAGTTTTACCGAATCCGAGTGCTTTGTACGGATTTGGCAATGCCATGGGAATTCCACTGCCAGAAATTAGCGTGTTGTTTCCGGAAGGCCCGACGGGACTGTCGTTTGAGCGAACGTCGTCGGGTGAGTTTGCGATAAACCGTTGTATTGAAAAGAGTCTTGCAGCAGTGAAAGAGAGTGTGAGGCCAGGACTTTTACTAGTTAAAGTGAACGATCAACCGCTGCAGGAAATTGTTCCAGCTCACTCTGCTTTGGATGTGCAGTTAGCTATTGACTCGATACCTGGAACGAAAGTTTTGACATTTCGTCACCCGTCAGTGACTCCTCTACAAGTTACACCAATGCATGTCGTCGCGCGAGTATCTTTTGCTTCAGACCAACTAAAATTTTGTTTGGTTCGTTCGTTTCAAAAAAGAGTTCTTGTTGAGATTCTTCTGGACCATCCTGGAGTGTTGATCCATGGATTTGGTCCGGGGTTATTTTCTTATCACTTTTACGAAGTGCAAGTTGAAGACTTTTACGTACAGAGCATAGCACGCGTAGACGACGAAGGCAATTACTGCATTGCTTCGAGTATTACAAAACCGGTTACTATGACACTGGATGAAAGCAAAACACAGGACTCAGCACTTAGATTCAGCACAAATTCTCTTTACGACGCACATCCAAATGCTCAAGTTGGTAAAGTAGAGACGTATGGGTCCAAAATGTCGCTGACAGTTGGCAATTCGATCGTTGTATTTGACGAAACAATCGTATCGACGCTTCTTAAAGATTGGAAAGACTGGCACAATGCTATCTCGAGCAATAGTATAAGTGGAGAGCCGTTGGCGAGTGCCGCTCGAGTGGACGTTGACTTATCGACAATGCCACCTTCTCTGAGATCGCAGCTACTTTCCTCTTACGCATCGACTAGTCTCTCGAATACGCTTCTCAGCGATGAACCTAAAGAGTCTGCTGACAGTTTAAGCTACTCGTATGAAGTGAACATTAACCTGATGCGGGTGTTTGTGAGTGCGCCGGAGGCACCTGTCCCTGTGACGATCTCAACGGAACCATCATATCGTGCGTTGCTAAAGCAATTAGTTGGCGACGAACCGAGCGGACCACCCGCAAGTCCAGATTGGGCTAGAGCTGCCCAAGCTATTGTTGTCATGCAACGCTTTATTCGAGGAGCGATGGTTAGGAAACGAAAAATGGTGCGTCTGGCTCTTGCAAGGAATCGATGGCTCTTGTATCAAGGCAGTATTCGAATGGGATGGCTCTTTACACGGGATGATTCACTCGCTTTTAGACGATGGCGACGGTCGTGGTGTCATTTGGATGATGACGGAAATTTTTTTGTGTACACGAATGGAGCTGGTGTCGATGTTGTCGATGAATTTAGACTGTGTGGTTGCAAAGTAATCATGTTGCCGTATGCTACTGGTGGACCTTGGAAAGCCATAGATAAAGTGTGTCAAGTACTTGAAATTACGACTCAGTCGGGTGTTCTTCGAAAGGTTTTGTGTTCGGATAATCTAGCTGAGTTGACAAAGTGGAAGCTCAGTATTGAAGTCAGTGCGAGAACTGCGAAGACATTGTCAAGTGAAGAGGTGGAAGATGGAGCTCATGACGAGTCAGTTGGAGAGGAGAATGAGTTGGCTGATGAGGACGCACTATCAGAGCAGCAACCTACCGTTGCTCTGGATGTATTGTTACTTGGAGGTTTCTCGAGTATCTTTCGACCCACAGCGATGCTGAAGAAAGAGCAGTCGGAATGGTTCTCATTGAATGTCACAAGCGTTTCGTTCGTGGTAGATGTGCATCGTGTATCAGAAGCAGACTGCTCTGCGCTCGCACTGTACCTAGGCTTGACCGACTTTACACTTCTTGACCATCGACAGTCGTCGGAATATGGCGTGCTCCACGTCGGTGACAAGTTTTTAAGTTTGAAAAATGGAGAGTTGACCCCTGGAAAGATGCGAGCAGATCACCTGAACACAGGCCCATTTTTCGTGCTTCATCTGTCATACCGTGGTACACGTGCTGGACCTACGTGCTTTGTGTTACAAAATGGGCTTCATGCGGATCTCATGCTTTCTGGATGGGTCATGCCACTCACGTTAACCCAAATTCTGCTCGAGATTGTCAATGTGTTGAGTGTGCTCTGGGCCTCTGACCCAATGACAGATAGTAGTGACCCTCGTGTGTCTACTGCACCGCAGACTATCGTCGTATGGCAAGAAGTTCCCGAGCTTGGAATTCAAATTCGTGCTCCGATTCTTGAAGCATATCTTGAAGATTCTCACTGCGTTGCCAAGCTTACGATTGAAGACAGTTCATCTTCTTATCGTGCAGAACCAGGAGTCGAGACTTTCCGACTACATCTTGGACCAACGGCACTATTCGTATTGACGGAAGATGTGGCTCTTCGACTGGTACAGGTAGATAAGTTTTGGCTTAGTTACGATCTTCGAGTTCATCGACAAACAGACTCACCAGTAGCAGGATGCGACTTGTGTACGGATGAGTCAGCGAAGAAGCCAGTGTGCCATCGCACTCTAAGTGTCTCGATTGGTCAAGTAAAACTCGAAGCAGATCGACGTTTGGAGTTGTTGTTTGCATTGTTAGAGGCTCTAACCCACAGCGAAGTGGAGTCTGAAGACGACTACGACAGTATCAATGAAGAGATAGCTGCTGACAGCGACGGTGGCGACAAAAGAGTTTATGATGTGAGCTTTCTTGGTGAGCACACGGCACAAACAGAACGCTTTTCGTCCATGCAGTTCACACCGTCTCAATATCAGGATCACAGTGATTTGCGGCCCATGTACGCGACGGGCTTTAGTCGACGGCTTGGCTCTCCATCTCGTCGAAGTCGAAAATCAACGTCGACTTCTGCTGGTTTAAATTACGACCTTCAGGATACGTGCCACGAACGTATGAAACGTCGAGCCAAAGTGTCTGCGTTCATTCCTCTTTTAAACTACCAGACGCTTATCGGTATCACAGCCGATCCGCTCGAGCGTCAAGCATCGATTAAAACAATTTTTCGTACACGACTACGAGTAGGAAGGATTCACGATCGGTTGTCAATTACATGCTACTCGATCGTGTTTGAAGTGATTAAGCGAAGTTTGTCGGTCGTGTCATTGGACACGTACATTCCAGTCATGAACTTTTCTGTTAGTGACATGAAAATGCAGTGCATGACACGCACTGAATTCTCCGTGGACCATGCAGTGGATGCAAGTATCGAGATCTCTGCTCGATACTACAACACATCGCTGGCTGACTGGGAGCCGTTTATTGAGCCGTGGCGTGCATACGCTAAGGCAAGGAGTGACGGCGGAGATGAAGGTACGACGATGCAGCTTAGCGCTTTGCAACGTCTAAACGTTAATTGTACGGACGCGTTGATTCGCTTGCTTTCAAGTATTGCCAAGAACCGTCGAAAACAGGATGCTATTGTCGAGAAACGAACACTTGCAGCCGTTGCAGCAGATGGCGAAGCAAAGAAGGAAGACGGTCGTGTGTGTGTGTTAAATAATCTTGGCGTTCCGATTCGTCTCGCAAATCTTAATACGTCCAACTCTGGTACACTTCACGTGGATATTCGCGACGGTTGGTCCTATCCTGGGTATTCACGATTCCACAACGTACGCGTGTCGGTTGTCTTGTTACCATGGTGGCATCCGCGCGAGATACAAGCAGTCGTAAACTTTCGTCACAAGTTTTCTTTGCCATATGGTGGCGCACAGTCTGGTGTCACGCCCATTCTGAGGATTGATGTGCTGACTACAGATGAAGGGAAACGTAATTATGTATTTGATCACGTGATGAACAAATACGTCGAAGTAGAACACGACGATGATGACGATTTATTTGACGTACCTGCCACCCAGCGCGTGACACAGCCGGCGACTCAGCACTGCTCAGACCGAGACAATAGCAATGCAACAACATGCACGTCACAACGAACGAGATTGTCATCAATTGGGTGTGCAGAGATCAATCTTGCTGGCAATGTCATGGCGTCACTGGATCCACATCGAATGAAACTGAATCGATGGTACCGTCTTCATGATTTACGTGGTCACATTACAGGCGAGATCTTCGTTGGTTTACACTTTGTGCCCGATGTATCGAGCTCAATTCAACGCAATCGAATGAGCGAACTACAACAAGTAAAAGACGGTCAATTCTTAGTGTTTGATCCGTTGAAAATTGTGACGTCAAATGCAAAAGATCCGTCAAATCATTGTTCAGACCATGTGATGCTATCAGCTGGTCTACGTGGAAGTTACATCCCACCACTGGCGCTGGAAGTTATTGTTGGGTCTTTGCGCATGGGTTTGATGTGTCCACTCCGTCGTGCTGGTAAATTTCTTATCCAAGGCGAAAAGGTGGTCGCAGAAGTCAAAGTAGCACAACGAGACGAATCTCGTCGCGTTTTGCTCTTAAATTCACCGGTCCAGCTGAAAAACGGTTCGTATAGAGTAGAGAAGCGTCATCACGATGGGCTGATATGGTTTTAATTTTTTGACAGATACCGGCATTGATATGGAGCTGTGGACTTGTCGTACGCGTTTAGCTCCAGGCGAGGTAAGATAGTTGAAACCGGCTTAATAACAAAATTTTGACTGACTGTGGATTGTTAGAGCGGCGCGCTGCCAAGTACTGGCAAATTGTTGACTTTGACGACAAGAAATAAAATGTCGGTTCCGATTTGTGCATTGTTTGGTGATGAAAAAGACTCGATTGTTGTCAAAGTGGAGGGGTGTAAGCCTACTGTCGTAGCTGATCTGAATAAACTCGCAGCAGGGTCGACTATTCTCACGCTCGAGGCGGAAGATCCAGAAGGTTTAGGCTATTGTCTCTACGTGAACATTACAGCACATATGCGCAAAGTGTATCGAGAAGAGCATCAAGGTATGATCACGCGAGGTATTACGAGCGAAGACGGCGAGCTGCAGATGTACGCGACGAAGTATCAGATCTCGCTACATTCGTGTCTCATTCTTGAAAATACACTCCCAATTCGAGTTCAGTTCAAGATTGTAGCCAGTGGTATGGTGAATAAAATTGTACGCACTGGAACATTGTCACCCGGTGAGGAGATTCCACTTCATGATTTTCAATTGGATGCACGATTAATGCTGCGATTGCCGGAAATGGACTCGATTTGGAGTCGTGCCATTAACCTTGGTGACTGTATCTACCGCGAAGGAATGGACAAGTCGATCAAGACAATGTTAGGAGCCTTAGGGGTTTGGAATCCAATCGTTGAGTTTCTGCCTTCGCCAGAGAGTACTGGCCTAGCTTTTAAAGAAGGAGATATCGCGTCAAATAAGGTAATTACTCGAATTGACTATACAGCTGCGGACGATGGAAGTCCACGCATTGTACTCTTTTGCTCCTTGTGGGTATACAATCAATCGCACGTTTCGACGCTATTGTTTCGTTGTGCGGACGATCCCAGCGCATCTGCGTTAATTGTGCCTCAACTCGTGGCTCAGCGACCAGTTCCACGCTTAATGGACTGTCCTGATCAAGCGTTTGAGATTGGGACAATTATTGACACAGAAGTTTCCCGCTGGTCTGACAAGATTCACTCGACAGTTGTAGGAGTTCAAGAACCCATTAGCCTGAAGTTTGGCAGCAAATTAGGACCAAAAACACGTATCGAACTCGGAATTTCGATCCAGCGACCACTGGGTCAGTTCCACCGTACCACTCAAGTCATTGTGTCGTCGCACTTTTTCTTTGTAAACAAGACGTTTGCAGCGTTTAAAGTCTCTCAGTACACGCGAACAATCGATCGTATTGTGGAACTTCCAGCCATGTCAAAGAAAGGGATTCCATCTGCACATCCGTTTGATTTTGATGCTACAACTAGCTTAGCAAATCGACGTGTATACTTGCGTATGGATCATTTTGGAGCTGGATGGAGTGGACCATTTGTTGTGGATGAAGAGAATGAGTTCTCACTGAAGCTTAAAGGAAATGTAATGGATTCGTGGCAAGATACTAGGGATACTCTGTATCAACGTGAGGGATTTCGACGGAGTGAGGCGGATATGCATCGCGTGAAAGTTCGAATTAGTAATATGGGACCAACCATAGTAGTGACGCTATTGCGGGATGATCCACCGATGTATATGATACGTAATGAATCAAGTTCTGATGTGTTTGTGAGTCAAGTACATCATTCGGAAGATCCAGTGATGATTCGTAGTCAGGAGTTTATTCCCTTTGCATGGGTGAAACCAGATGGACCCTGGTACATATATAAACGAATTCTTTTGTGATGAAAAGATATAAAATTCTAACCATTGTGTCTACTTAGGCGAGTGGCGTGTCGAACAGGAAGTAAAGTTGGTCGATTCAAGATGGTGTCACGTAATTATGGCGTCTATGATTTTGCAAATTTAGATCGAGAGCGAAATATCGACGCGTTACGTTATCGAATGTTTGGCAGTAAATCCAAGACAATTACGGGCGATATCGTTATTGACCGTGCGTCGCGGGTATTGGTCTTTCGTGATCATGACAAAGATATACCACCGAGTTACATTCTTGAAGTTAAGATAGTTGCAGCGCGTCTTCGAAACGAGTTTACGCTTAAAGCTGGATCCACTGCCGAGCTGATTGCTGAAACAGACACGCATGCTGTACGTAGATTTATACTACTCAGTGTTGTTTAAAGACTTTAATGTGTCATTTGTTGCAGGCGAAAGCGGTGGAATCAAAGGAGTTGAAGACAGCACACGTTTACCGTTTTGATTCGGATCTTGAGTTTCCGTGTGACTCACGTCCTCGAATACTTACGTTAAACTTCTACAATAGTCAACGCGAACAAGGAAATTTTATGCATATGTCATCGATTGGGATTGATGATGATAGCTTCCTTAACAGTAGTCGTGGCGTTGGATCTGGCAATGATTCCGCGATACATCGACTCGCTGATACAGAGCTGGGAGAATGTGCAAGTCCAAGAACGGGAGATAATTCCACGTCGTTTGAAATGCTGAATACTCCAGCCGCTTCTCTGACTCGACCCTTATGCAGCAACACCCCTGAAAATCTGACTTTGTCTCAAACTCCGCCGTTTTATCAAAACGATAGCGATCTATCATACACGGACGTAGCGAATCAGCTTAGCGACATTGGACGGGTAAGCGATTCATATGCGTCGTCTGAGCAATCGGATGACGATGATCGACGTAGTAATGACACGGAACTCGGCGCAACGGGCACTGTTGAGATCAAAATTCCAAAGAAAGCGTGGACTCGCATGGGTGTAGGTGCGAAACGATCAATTGCACTGTCGTACAACACGGCAGAACAAGCGCGTCGATCTCTTGGACGCGTGGAAGGTCATTGGTGGGAAATGCGAGACCCAGAGAGCGGCGATGTTGTCGGTGAGGTTTTAGTGGCGCTCAAATTTCGCACATTTGTACGAGAACATGAGCAAGTGACTGGCATTTACAACATGAGTTTGATCATTCCAAGTATTGGATTATCATTTTTGCACAATGCTAACTCCAGTCTAGTCGAAGTGGCCTATTTGTCCATGCAACGCCTTGGATTGCTCTACTCTTGTGCTGGTGGCAGTAGTGAAGTGGTCTTTTCACTAGGGAATTTGCAAATGGATAATCAAATGGAGTGCGAAGTAGTATTAGGTCCAAAAGTACATCAAGTGAAAGAAGGTGTGTCTGTGCGCTTACGGGATCGCTGGCGGAGTTTTGTGAACTATCGGTACCGTGGTATTTTTGAAGAACTGGATACGAATAGCTTAAGCGTCATTCAGTTTCGAATGCTTTGGAATTCGAGCTGTCATGCCGGGGACTTTACGCACTACGAGTTAATTGAACTCATTATGCAAGAGCTCGAAGTATCAACGGACGAAAAGTTTGTCGTCAATCTTATCAGCGTATTTCAAGGGTTAGAAGGATTGACAACACACCATTCATTTGAAGAGATTGTCAACACACAATTTGATTATGCTACTGGAATGAATAGTCGAGCACTCGTACCCGCACCAGGCGTAGATGAGCGAAGTGGTGTTGGCACGGCTAGCGCAACGGTCACGGACGCCAGTGGCGTATACATTGAAGAGTTGTCGATTGAAGCGATTCGGATTAAGTTTAGTATGGAATTAAACGGTGGACGACACATTAAAACACTAGGTCCATCCGGTCGACGACTGGCGGTGTATTTACCCGAGTCGAATGTCAAAGATTTTCGATTGTACTTGACAAAACTTTCGTTCACGCATTTGTACGAACCGCAGAGTAGTGTCGTGCAAAAAGTCATGCGACGATACTCGCAACAAGCTGTAATTCTCGTGCTTCGTGGTTTGCATACCGTGTCTGTATACGCGAACCCGTTTCGAATTGTTTACCGTTTAGGTCATGGAATTGTTGAACTTGTACGATTACCTGCACGTGGATTGGCATCCGGTAGTCCATTAGAACTCATTAGTGGCGCGTATCTTGGTGTTCGTTCGTTGGCCATGAACACAATTAGTGCGAGCTATGAAATTGTAGCAGGAGCAACAGGAATCTTTGCAGCGATTGTCACTCCATTTGTACCGGAAAGTCGACGTAAAGCTTTTGAAGAAGATCTTGTTGCATTTCAACGAGCTGTGATTGAAGAAGTAGATGCATTTGATGCAGCTGAAGAACGGACAATGACAAAAGTAATTGTGCGAAAACCACGTGAATTTGACCAAAGTGGAGTTGGCCTTTTGACTGTCTATGGTCCTGGATCTGTACCATTAGAAGAGCAAGAACGAATTGATCACAAGGCTGTTGTACTTCTTCAACTTTGGTGGCGTCGTCGACGACGAGCGAATTTATTATTGGCAGAAGCACGACGTTTGCGACCTGAAGTTGATGCTGAAGAACGTGTGTTTGGCTCAACTCAGTGTGTTATTCAGTAAAGGATGAAATATATTTATTACTGTTTTATTTTTCATTTGATGGAACGAAAAATAAAATATATATATATGACAAATGACAAATTAATAGGATAGGACCTAAATATTTATCGCAATTTTACACTCAATTAAGCATTCTTTTGAGTGCAATAATTTATAAACATTTTTGGTATAGAGACAAGTAGTAGCATTTTCGGTATAGAGGCAAGTAAAAGTCGTTCTTGCAAAATGAAATTGCAGATTTATTACGATGCTCATATTGTCATTCGAGCACTTAGAGGAAAGGCTGTTTATATATCGTTACCTTTACAAGCAAAGCCGGGGCTTAATTTTTTTCAAATGACGACGTGAGCAACCCCGGCACAGCTGTAGACGATACGAAACACTACGGAATTGAAAAAATCGCGTATTCTCCAGTGCGAGACTTTGTTGTCTTTTTAGGCTATTTATTGTGTGTGACAGTTTTCATCTTGACTTTCAAAGCATAATTTTAAGATTATTTTGCAATTTGTCAGTCGTAAAGTTGTTAAGTGTAATAAAATAAAAGATTCTGTTTTGAAATATCGTCGAGTCGCGACTGCATCTTATGACAAGGAATCTTTGATGGCAATCTTAGAGATCATAAGGTAGAAACATAGTTTGGGTAGATGAGGGTGCAATTAGTTCATGGTCACTTGGCATCTGTTCTTGTGATTCTTTAATATCTACAGTCGATAGATAGCAATCGTTAAAGTAGTCAAAAGTATTGTTTAAAAAGGATTAAAATCTGATAGTGAAAGCTAGATGATGAATGCTTTATCAAATTCGACTTTAGCCATGTCGAATTGATGCTGGGCTCATCTGAAACTAGCAGACAGTCTTTCCAGCTGTCATCATTTCGCCGTGTTACTTTAGCAATACTTGTTACAGTAAATTTCTCGTGGCCGATTTATGCCATGGACCAGTAGAGGCGTGCACAATGTAATCGAGTTGAAATACACACCTTTCGCTATAGATGTACACAATCAGGACGTATCATCGCTTCAACTGGACCCCAATCGCCCCATATTTCAATTTGCATCAAAGCGCTCGAGTGACTTATCATTTCACAATATTTGCGCTTACATCTCAGCAATGCGTGCAGGTCGCATACTATTCGCAATATCGACCCTTCATGTTGTCTTAACTGGTGCGCTTCTAGCTCCTCTTTCAAGCAGGGCTAGACACCATGCGAAATCAAAGAAAGTAATGATACGTCGGAGAGATGACGTCGAAGAGAAATCAAGATTTTCATATGCGTCACTTACTGAGCTTGACACAAAGACATTGCAGAAGCTGAAGGTCCAGAGTTTGTCTAGCGTCCAGAATTCTGGTATTATTGATCAGCGACATCTCATCTATTTAAGAAATCTATTTAAACTAAAGGTTATGGAAAAGAATACAGTATAAAATATGAATAATATATTTAATGGTTGTAGTATTTATAATATCCCACATTACTTGGACATCAGAGCTGTATGATTATCCATTATTGTCAACTTTATTAGATGCAGCTTCATAAATAAACGTACATGATACTACCAGCAAGAGAGCATAGTCTCTGGACTAATGTTACGACTTGATCAGGTGCATAGATCTCTTAGAGCACGATAAAGATTTTAAAAGACATCAAGACGAGGAAGTAGGGTACACTCTTCAAAATGCACCGTAATTGGATGATGGTAGTGTCATCGCTGTTACGAGTGTTATGCGAATCAATTACACATATTAGGGAAGTGAACAAGATTGGAAAAGGTGGAGATTATACCACGTATTATCAATCTTCGAGTACAAGTGCATGCAAGTCTGTCCTTTCATAGAGCGGTGGTTACCTTGTGCTACAATGTTTTGAATAATTTCGCTTATTAACTGCATACGACGGTACGTGGATCAAGATGTCTCGATGGAGATAAGCGCGGGCGACTACCGCTAAATTGCGCTGCACAACTTCATTTCATCCGTCAGTGAGTTACTACACTGTTGGTCGAAATGACAGGAATTACTTTCATCAACGTGATATTTCAATGTACACACATGCCTGCGGTTACTCTTCGATATATACTTGACTCGATATCAAAGAGCACGCAGACATGAACAAGCTCAGTAAAAAGTCAAGAAATTGTTGTGATGCAGTGAATCCAGTGTCATATGGCGACAACTTTTAGCACCCCATGGAAATCATATTGCAGTCAAATAGAAAGCGTGTTATGAAGGCGTTGGAAGTGGCGATGATCAAGAAGGTCTGCAAGGAACTAAACGACATTGACTCTAGCTGAATTTCAGCAATAATTCGGAGGCACACCCTAGGAGCGCTAAAATTTCTGGAGCTAATGTGAATTCAAATAACAACAACAGATGTCCTGAAAAGCCGCGACAACAACGTGACAATATAGTCCAGAAAGTGATGTAGATTACCATTTCTAGCACAACGATTGTTAAGATTGCAATAGCTGGTTTGCTTTTAATTATCAGGTCACCATCAATATATGTGGCTCTGCAACGTGTTACGAAACAAAAACTCACAACCTGGAACATTTTGACTCCAATAGATAGATCGTGTATATCACATTTAACAATGAGGCACCAAGGGCGTTGAATATTCTAGTGCCTATGTCAACATTCGAATGAACAGAAGGAATAAACGAGAAAAGTTGCGCAGTGAAGCGATTTCAAATGTTTTTCTATGAACTCTCTCGTTCTGTTTCTTCGTGTAAAGCCATTCTTTTATCACTTCTATTTCGATATTTTTAATAAAGAGTGCAATGACTGTTGAAACTATGGCCAACCGGGACAAGTGGCTAGTTGACTACGCTGTCCTCCTTATCATCGGTCCATCAAACAAGAAGCATTAGTTTAAAGGAGGTCAACCTACAGCTTAGCGGCTTGTGTTGCAGTTCATGCGAATTTCTGCAAAAATTATTGTGCACTCTTCATCGTGTATCTGAACATGCAATATGTTGCTGTGACGATCAGTGGCACTATTTAGGTCAAGTGTCTCTTTCATTGCCTCGGGTCACACCCAGATCTCCTACCCGGTGCGAATTAAGCTGACACCACACCACGTCTGTATTCTTTTCATCTTTTGGATCTTTTGAAAACTTGAGCACGCAGGCCCGTCTTTTGCTGCGTTTGTAAGCCTTAACTATATCCAAACGGAGGACACTGTTCAAGTCTTCAAAAGTGATGTTGCTTTCGAGAAATTGACACCGGCCTTTGGATAGACTTGAACCGTAAAGTAAACTCTTTCGAGGTTCGATATCTCTTTTAATGTTGGTTGTATTTGGGCATCCGAGAAGTCAGAACCACGATGACGTTCATAAAGTTTATTTATTCGAGTTTGACGCAATCTGTTATAGTCACGTCCTGTGTTCTCCAATTTCAGAGTTGCGGTACACAAGGTGTGACACAGAGAGTGCAAACAGCAAGCTACTTGTTTGGGTGACCTGTCGTCGCATACTTTTGGCTTGGATACTTGTGTGGAACTATGCTACCAACACAAAAAGTGTCTTAAACACCTTTGTCAGCAGTCGTGTTCTGCGTGAATGACCCTTAAATTTCTTTATCGGTGACCGAGCACAGCATTCTTTCGACCAGAATAATTGCTTTTACCCAAGGTTTCCTTCTCTGAGCGGAACTAGGCTAATTGATCACAGGATGTATAGACGTCTCTACCACCTCATGGTCGGCATCTGTATTGAGAGATCGTAACAGATGTTTTTTAGAGAGAGCGATGAAAACAACACGGTTTTGGTGGTACATGCAATGACAGAACGATAAGTACCTAAACAAGTTTGTGTACAATTAGATTGATCTTGGGCATCCTAAAGTTTGGAAACACGTGGCGCACCAAGGAAATTGGTACAGCCACGCATGCATGGACTTAATTTCAGCGCTCCATTCCTATTGATATGAGTGGGTTTTCCTGGGTAGAATCTACCAACCACCTCGCGAATTCTCAATTTGTGCGCAGGTACGCTACCCTTTTGTTGTGTCTATAGACTATTCATACCTCGGCATGTCTAAGTCAGCACAACTAGTGTTAATTTCCTTGGACACACTGGAAACGAACCCGTAGCGATTCAATAGCTGTTACTAAAGGGACCGCCAAGCCATGCCATTCCCTATTATCTCATGTATGGATTACGAGCATGCATGTGATTAAAACGAGATAGTTTATCATCACCATCACGTATGCACACGTATTTTGTAAATGTCATCATATAATTCGCGCTTTCCATTCTGGCCAGGTGCTTATGGCACTCATAGTTCGTATACAAGAATTTGACCTGCACCTTGACGGGGTTGACCTGGTTATTAATTGCTTTTGAGAGATTGCGGGCGCGATATGTTCACCGAGCGGGATGCTGTAAAAGGGAGTCATCAAACACGAATGACTGTTTAATGTAATGGCGGCAGCAACCGCCTGGCGACATAATTGTATACACCGCATTGCACTACGGACAGTCCTATCTTGACGTATCTTAAACCATAGTTTTGTAAAGCACGCTTACCGAAATAAGCTTTCGCGACAATAGCTCCAACGCTACTGCACGGTTACACCTAGCACGGATCTTCTCCTCACACTAGGATGCCGCAGTGTTTGAGAGCATTGCATATATCAAACGCTTGCCTATATAGACAACGGTGTCTTTGGTGCCAACACTTTCAGACTGTATTAAAATCAGTTTATTGTAGACTGATCGTCGCCATTTTTCCCAAAGGGACTTCAAAAAGTTGTTTTACCTGACCAACTACTTGCACATGTACAGCACAAACTAACAGGGCTTCTCACAAATGCACTGAAAACGAGTGCTAGAGTGCAGCAGCGAAAAAGAGGTCTAGGACTGCAAATAAATCTTCAGCCTATCACACAGTTTGTGCATCACACAAAGATGCGAATAGGCATGAATTTGCCACTTTAGTCGAGCGTCGACGGTAAATGCTACTAAGAGGACCTGTCTATTCCATGACTTAGAGAATCTAGCTTTGTATTATGCTCCTGTCAAATTCAAGAATATATATGCTTGGCCTTTATCCATTTGCGAGCTCAGATCTACAACCTTGCGTACAGCAAAGTCGTAACATCATCTCTCACAGAGAATGATGATAAGGTTTCATTTACTTGTTCAAGGTAAGTTACAAACCAGATATAGTGGTGTTTTCGCTCTTGCGCTGCCCTAACTATGATCTACCGCATGGCACGATGGTGATGAAGCGCATTGATGATGCGGAACGCACATCGTTCGTTTTAGAAGTGGCGTCTGTCGCGTCCCTTAAAGCTTTGAGAAACACTAAGAAGCCGCCTAATTAGTTGTATGATTGCACCGCTTTTTTGTCCCAAGGACTGCTGTATTACAGCATTGACCCTCTCGCTACCCCATGTCGTGGTATCTCAAAAAACGAGTACTACAAGCTCAGCATATTTATTGTACGAGTTACACGTATTTCCTTGAATGGCCACCTCAGTTGAGAAAATACATACGACAACTGCTAGGCCCTGGTGTCTCTATATGGATTGATGGGTAGGAACTCACGTGCGAAACGTGTATGGTGTCTGAACTTTTTCCGCATGTGTCCACGCTCTTCGTCCCTCAGAAGAACGTTGGCAGTTAATCGGCAGCGACTTCGGTTTTATTTTCTAGAAATGCATCCCTAGAAGTAAAGGCATCGTGGTTTTTGTGGATTGAATGAGTAAAATGCTTTATCTTGCTGTTATCGGCGACACCGTTATTAGTAAAGATACAGCCAAGCATCTTCATACCAAAGTTTTTTTCTCACAACAGCTCACCAAATGTTATACATCTATATCCGCGCTTCCGAGATCAGACGAAATGCCTTAATCACGAAGTGGGGGATCAAAGCACTTGCGCGGAGCCTTACCGAATTTCTGTATCGAAATGCTCCCGCTCGTTGAATTTGCATTAGATTTAATAACGCCTTCAAAAATGCTTAGCATTTTCTAATTGTTTTGATAAACCCGTTAACCCCCTTGTCCCTGTGACCGACTACAAATTTGTTCGGGTCTTAGTGGGGAAGTGGACTTTAATTTGTTGATTCTGCCTGTATACACTTCGTAACAAAACTATGTTTTATTCATGGGAGAAAGCGTAATGGACCCAGATGGCGATGTTTTGGCTGTCGGACAGGATGTTATGCCGAAGCAGAGGGCCAAAATGAATTATTTGGAGATCAATTTTTATCAAATGCGGGCAGCCTTCCACATTATGCAGTGTCTGCCGTCTATCAAACTCAGTTGCTGTCTAGCTTCACTGGACTGCTTACGGTCGATTAAGCTATACATTCAATATCACAGAGCATATGCAAACAAACCCTGTGTTTCGCGTGAGCTTGTCAAGCCATGTCCTCATTTTTATCGGAAATGAAGAAGCTTCTTCAGGTAACCTCTTCGACCGAGCTACGCTATCCTCTAGAGGAGCAATTTGATTTCGAACCACATAGCATATTCTAAGCCGACCAATACGATTGCACCGTTCAAAGATCACATGTCTCGCGTCGGTTTCTGCCGCCCCTCAAGACTATGAGACAGAGTCAACGTACCGCCATGATTCAAAAAGGTCAAAAAGTTCCAACCACGGGAGCAAGTTCAGTAAAGGATGTTTCACGTTTGCATGGAGAGGATAGTGAGCTGGCACATTTATTAGAGACATACTTAATGGTTGGCGAGCGGGAGGAATACCCTTACACCGGGAGTATTGCTCTCTATTGGCTCCGCTTGTTGAGTAAAAGACGGTTTACGTTGCATGAAGAGGATGGTGAGTTGGCACAATCTTTAGAGCCGTATTTAATGATTGGCGAAGCGGGAAGAATATCCTTCCACCGAGAAACCATGAAGCTTTGCGTTTTACTACGGCAAGATTGCTCTGGTGCAGGCTCCGCTCATGACTTGGCGCATTCTCTTTCCAGAAGGATGAGGTAAGGTCGCACAGCACAACGCGCTTCCCGCTGATAAGTGGAACCCATCTTTTTTACAAAATTAGATATAAAACTGTATAAGCAGGCTCATAAAGATAAACACGAATATAAGAAATACTAACGTTAATAAGAGTTCACATGGCAAAATACACTGTGCTTTGAACTTCATGAAGTCGAACATTAAACGATGCTCTAATTGAGCTTCTGATTCACTGTAGCTGCTTGCAAAATCATTTAACAGGCGACTCGACGAGTCTTATTCCCTTATGGTGCAGATTAAATAAGATGCCCTTTGGAAGCTGTGCGAGCGCGCACTACTAGGTGTACGTTGCGTAAAGAGCGTGAAGATTTTCCCAACGACTGTTGCCTTTGCACAGGCAGTGCTTCTGTATTTTGGTGCTATCAAAGGTCGAAAAGCCATCTCAATCCGATTTCTCAAACGTTTTCCAGTCTCGATTTGAGTGCAAGACCAGTATAGGCCCCGCAACGGCGCAGCGCGCAATTTCTGATAGATAAAATTGCTAATCATGACGTGGTTTGGTCTGAAGCTACTTTACCAGACATCACTTTCAATAGTGCAATAAATCCTTGCAGAGCCAATCCAGCGTACTGATACGTGTTCGAGCTCGTCGTGAGCTCCGCCGTCGCATGTATTAACATTAATTGCAGTGAGGAGTGGGAATAAAATGCGCAACTCGTGGCCGATCTTTAAAATTGCTTCACCCTTGAGTAGGTTCTCGTGAATGGGGAACAGTGATCTCAGACGGCTCTTGGAGAAGGTTGAGATGCTGGTAGAAGCTCATACAGTCAATGTGACCGTTTCAGTTGAGATCGACTGCCTCACTGAATCTGGCTCATAGGTCGTCGGCCACCGGGGCTGATCTTTTGTCGAGAAACTGTTGGGTCATACACAAGCGCAAGAATGGAAGATGTTTTTACGCTCACACTGTTAAGCTCAACAATAAAAGACAGATCACAGCACAATCTGTGCTCATAGAGCCCTCGATTTTGAGCATTTATCAAAAGAAAGTGATTGTAATTAAAAAAGAGCTTGCATTCATTATAAGTGGGATGGTGCGATTCTATATGATACAAAAACACCAGTGGTCTTGGACTTAAAAAAATACCAAAGTATCAAGGTGAATGTCCACAATAAAATTCAATTGTGATGAAGGCGATGGGACTTTTAAAAAGAAAGACATGTTGGACAAAGGGACTGTCAGTCTCGCGCTGTGCGATGCATAACGTACATTATGACAGAAAGTAGAGCAAATGCAGTATCAGTTAATCCAATTCTAATATTCACGTGTTATCATTGAATACTACGCACAGGAGGTACCTGGTTCTTGAGATACTCTCTGTTAGGTAGCGTGCACTAGCTCCATCGGTGTCTCAATAAAACTGAACTCGGAATATCTGTGCGATGACTTCGATCTCCCCGTTGCATTTTTTCTCCCATGGCAAAACGCATCGCAGCACAGACACGCTAGCCACATGGCACCCCACGATTTCAAGTATATTTATGCGGCACAAACTATCATTTTTTCGACGAGAGTCATAGTTTTTTTTCAGACAAGAAAGACGAACAATTCAACAACGCTTTTTATTATTATCGGTGGCATACGATGTATGATTGGGTAAGCATTTATGTTAGCAACTGTGAAACGTGTCAAATGGTAAGTAAGACCTCTGCCGCATACGTCTTCGTCCTTGCCCAGTTTGCAATCTCAGTGTCGGTAGCCCAGTAGCATGACATTACTTTGGACGCCCATGAATTGCGTCCGCTTATACCACTTTGTGTGCCTTTTCAGCAAATTTGCTCGTATCATTGCTGTCACCGACATTTTTACCAGCAAGTTTTGTCGGTGGTTAGCGTTTTAGTCTGAGACCTGCGCCTCCAGCAGAATTTGGCAAACTATTTTTGGGTGCTTCGACTCATCAGATCTGCTCGATGAGCACCGTAGAACCAGATTTCATGTGGAACGAGATAGACTAGCGCGTTCACCTAGGTATCTGGAGAATCCCGAGAGCTCATTGTAGATTAAGGTACGAATTTAGCAAAATGGCCCTGGTGTCGTTGATGCTTACGACTTGACACACCCACTACCTCTATCTCACCAGAGTTGTAACCAGAATCGTTTGTCGCATCGCTCTTTCACTTGCAAGTAGACCCGAACTTGTTTCAAGTTCAAACCTGGCTGGACTCCAAACTTGTTTCAGGTTCAAACCTGGCTGGAATCTGGACTACCATGAAAGCAAAACTATTCATCGCACGAACCTGAGGAGGCTGAGACTACTGTCTTGACTAGAACGTCGCGTTTTATACTCTAAACTCAAACATTAAGTGACCGTCTTATCCGATTTCTGTTCGACTGTATTCGGTTTAGGACTAAGTAACAAGTTATACGATGATCTCTTCTCACGCATTGTTGTGATCGAGTCACTTACTATTTTGCATTTTTTTGCCAAATCCAAGTACCATAGTTGCAGTCCTCTTTCAGTGTAAGTCATGTAGATTGGAAGGATTCGGGAAGTGCTCTATGAGACGTGGGAATCAATGAGTTCAAGAAGGAGTTAGGAAGTGATCTCAAAACAATCATCAAGCGCATGTTTACTCTCCGATTGGGGTAAAGACCCACAGAGGTAGGTGACTTGAAACTCCGCCACGACGCAGCAAACATTTCAGACAAATTCATGGCCCCGATGTCGTTTAGGGTGGTCAGGTCTGATGTTACTGAATCGAAAGTAGCCACGACACGTGCGCTAATAGGCGAGCAAACCCTGCTGCCGAGCCAGGTCCAATAAATTAAGAGCGAGACGAACTTCGTTATATGTTCCACGGCGGGATTTCGTCATGGTCTCAGCATTAGAAAAAGGGAACGGATGCGCAACTTAGCCAGAGACGAGGCGGAGGATCATATACGTCTGATGCTCGAAGAGATTCCTTCAGACAGAACAGCTTAAGCGTTTGAGTTTTGCTAAGAGCGCAGGTATGTGTAGGGCCTCGAAGAGTCATTGTGTCCTATTTATCGCACAACACCTACCGTGAATTATTTGCATGGCGTCAGCCGCAATGGCCGTGTCATTTTGTCAAGCCATATGTGTAACAGGGTTACCCGTACCCTTGTATAATAGGGCGGGTTGCACAAGATTGTGCGATCGTACATAGGTGTGTATTATACAAGTTAGTGTAATCACACAGTGTTGTGGCTACACTGTAACAAGAAGCCACCACGTGGCAGGACTGCCAGTAGTAATGCATATTACTATACTAATAAGATTTTGCAATATCAATTAGGTGTTGATCAAAAGAAAAATCAAAGGTTTTATATGTTGGCGGCTCTACCGCAATTAAACAATTAAATTCAGTTTCACTTTTAAACAGGAATGTTCGTTTGCCTTGATTTAGATTTTTAGTACGTGGAGGTAGCGGATCGCAATCCGCTACACTCGACTGAGACTTGGAAAGAACGTAAGGTCGGTGACTTTGCTTAGCATTCTCTCAGCAAAAAGCTACGAGCCTCGCTGCACTTGGTAGCACTCGTAGTCAATTTACGCCTGCGTCGTTACGACTGATCCTTTGTGAGGATGGAGGAATGTTCTTGTTCGCCCCGGGGTATGCAGGACGGGCTTAATAAGCTGATGTCCCTGCTGGGCCGTGAGGACGTGTAGCAACTCGCTGCGCAAGGACCCGAGGCCATAAGCGCGCGCCTTGAGTTGTTTCAAGTTATAAAAATGCTCTTTTAGAGCACATACAACAGAAGCTCTCAGTTTCGACTGCGTCTATGACGTCACCGTCAACGACGGATGATTTTTTCGACCCAGGCGCTCATGTTAATCGTTAGGACCTTCAAGAATGAGGAAGGAGAAATTCTCCTGCTCTGGCTGTGAGAGACCGAGATGGCTATGGCATCTGCTATGCTCCAAAACGAGCAATAGCTCGTGGTGCTAGCTATCTTCAAGCTCGGGGACCGAGCACGAGACTGGGTACTAACGTGCGGCGCTTCGGTTCAAGCTGCGTTTTTCACCGCACTGGCGTGGCCAGAATGGAAGTCTTCCGTCTGCATTCGTCTTTTTTTAAAGAAGCAGTGAACGTGGTATTGAATGCCGAATGCAACTTTAAATCGACACGACTTGGTTGGAATGCACGCACTCCGATCTCGTCGAGCGGGCCTTGGTCAATTGATGTCAGCTATGCTGAGAAAGAGGAGAAAGAAGAGGATAAGTTCCGAGCTGCTTAGGTGTTTTGTCTGTGGAGACACCTGTCACCTTCGGACGGGTTTTCCCCTGCACACGGCGCGTAAAGGTTCGTCGAGCCGACGTCCCCCTTCTAACCTGTCTAGTTTGACGCGAGGAAACGAACAAATCCAAAAGGCGCGGGGCAACCTACGGGGGGTGAACTGTGTTCTGTTGCGCCTCAAAGAGGTAGAGGACAGCAGGGCCCAGACCGAAGAGCTTCGTGCTCCTGAACACAGAACGTGTGTGCAAGCTAAGCTTGCTGGTCGCAAAAGCAGCCTTGAAAGGTTTATGATGCCATGGAAAATATTTATCGATTCCGGGGCGTCGGGCAAATATGCGCGACGCTCCACGATCGAAGAAAATCAGCTGTATGTGGAGGAGCTGGATGCGCGGCTGAGTGACGCCGTCACTGTTCGCATAGCGAGGGGAATTTGTGCCACTGCGCAGAGGGTCCCTGTGGACCTCGGTGTCAACTTCCATGACTTTGATTGCGCGGATCGCTGTCCAGTCTTGGAATTGAATGCAAGATATGACCTAATTCTTGGTATGTCATGGTTGGGGCACCATGAGCCATGGATTTATTGGAGGTGAGGACATTGGTCGCCACGCGCACATCTCCTAGTGGAGCTCTGGTGAGCCATGAACCCACCGCTGCTAGGAAGTAGAAGCGCTATTGGTGCGGGCACTGGACCAGGACGGTCAATGTGCTGGATATCAGAGTATCCGAGTTGTCGAACACCAAATGTGTTTTCGACAAGAGTCTAGAGCCGGGCTCGCGGGCTGAACGTGAAATGATACGTAACCTACTGAGCACTGCTCAAGTATCGGAACAGTCGCTGTGTTTCAAGAGGGGCATGGTCGGCCAAGGGCCCGAGGCATCAAGGGAAAGGCCCTTGTGATACACGTGGATTGGCACGAAATCCACTGAGCACTGTTCACGTTACAAAGCATTTGCTGCATGCCAAGAATGGCATAGTCGGACGAGGTCCGAGGCATTAAGGGCGAGGCCCCAATGATACGGGTGGAGTGGCACATTATCCACTGGACGAAGACTGCGGAAATTGAAACCCTTCGTCGGATGTTGTAGATAACATCATGTTTCGGATGGAGCAGGGAGTGAGGACACTGGACGATGCGAAGTGTGTTTTCCCATTGGTCTCGACGAGACATACTCCCTCTACAGAGATAGGACTACGAAGTCGTATCTACAAGACGCAATCCGTCGACCCTGACTAAAGGTGTGTCTAGCGTTGACGATAGCGCACAGCTATATACCGTCGTTATCAGTATGTCGGGAGAGGAAGACGGTGACGTCACCCTCGAGGTTGTTCTCGCGGTGGATGTTCGGCTTGAACTGGACGAGATGCCCTCCGAAGAGCTTAGCAATGCCTTGTAGGCAATCAAATCAGCCGAGGTGATCATTGTTATACCGAATGAGGAGATTAATTTGTCATCGCTTCTGGATGAAGATGTCCTGGAGGACACTAAAAAGGTGCTAAACGCACAGAGTGGGTCATCAATCCTGAAGAATTCTTCGGATCCCATTAATTCTTTGGTAAATGAATGTCAAGACGTCGTCTCCAAAGACCAGCTGTACGATTCTACCTCCGGACCGAGCTTTGTGCGTCGTGAGATTGACCTAGCTCGGGAACCAAATCCTGTGTAACTCGCCAATGGCCCCTGCCCAAGGAGCTGTCCGACCTCTTTGACGCCTTTGGCAGGAATGGTACGTGAGAGCAAGTCTCCCACCTTTTGTGTCCGGAAGCCGAACGGTAGTGGCGTATCCTACACGCACACAATAAAATAAACGCTGCCACCATTCCGACACAAACGCCGATTCTTAGAAACGATGTTCTCCAGAACAATATGGCTCGCTGTACAAAGTACAGCGCACTCGGCTTGGTCAATGGTTGTTACCAATTGCTCATGAGAGCATGTGATCCGCTGACAGGGATATAATACTCCGAGCGGGATGCTCTGGGAGTGGCTGGCGATGCCCCAAGAGCTGTCTATGCACCAGCAACATAAAATCGGTTTGTGACGCAATTGTTTAGGCCCTTTCGGGCATATACGCAGATATACTTCGATAACATCTTCGTCCACAATCGTGCGGGGCACGGGAGGACGGATGAAGAGTATCACATCGTCCATTTAAAAGTGGTAATCGAGTGCATGCGCACAAATATGTTGTATGCTAATGCAGACAAGTGTATCTTTGGCGCCGAAAAACTCCCTTCTTTAGGGTGCTTTATCGGCAAGCGTGGCCTTCGAGCTGATCCCGCTAAGATTAAGGCCATTGTGTACTGACCAGTTCCAAGGAAATAAAAGGACTAGCGCAAGTAGTTCGCCCTCGCCAGCTTCTTGCACAAGTATAGCGCAAATTATGCGGAAATGACACAGCCATTGTCGAACATCCTTAATTAGGTTGCGGAATGGTGTTGGGACACCGAGCTTCGGGAGGCCTTTGACAGTTTTAGAAAAAAAAACTCCTTCATGCAGCAATACTGGCGTTGTCAGACCCCGATCGTCCTTCTAGTGTCGTCTGCGATGCTTCGGACTTTACCATCGGCTGTGCACTGCTGCAAGCAGACGCCGAGGGGCGAGATCGGGTGATCGTGTTCCAATCTCGCCCGCTCAAGGCAGCAGAAAGGAATTATCCAGTCCACGACAAGCAACTGCTTGCGATGAAGTATGCACTTGTCAAGTTCAGGGTGCACCTGCTCCGCTATAAGCTGTTTATGATCTACACAGATCGTGCGTCACTGTGCACCGCAACTCAGTAACCAAACCTCTCGCAGAGGATGGTCAGGTGGCTCAGCTTCTTTGTCGAATATATCTTCGAGGTGAAGTATAAGCCAGATAATCAGAATGCTTTGGCTGAAGCGTTGTCACATCGACCAAATTATTAGCATGCTCATGTCACGACGGTGACGTAGTCAGTGACGTATTTTAGCCGCGCCGCGTACGCGAGTGATGATATGTGCGTAATGCTGCCACGGGCTCTCGGGAGCAAGGGGCTTAGAAACTCGGACAAGAAGTTCTAGCGACTTCGTGCATGGTTGCACCGATATTCATTGAATGATGGATTGCTTATCATAGCACCGAATCAACGGATACGTCACGATTTGTGGTTCCTCACGATGAGGATAAAATACCGTTTATTCTATGAGGCCCACGGCACCCCAGTT